GAAGGAGGGTTTGAGATTTTAGAGACGGGGGTTTAGGTTCAAGATACAGACCGCCAAAGGTGGTCCCCTGTAGGGGGGATCAGGGGGGGTATCCTCCCCTTGGAGAAGAAGGGTTTGGGATTTTAGAGAAGGGGCTTTTGGGTTAGAGATACAAACTGCTGAAGTAGGTCCCCTGTAGGGGGGATTGGGGGGCATTCCTCCCCTTAGAGAAGGAGGGTTTGGGATTTTAGAGATGGCGGTTTGGGTTCGAGATACAAAATGCTGAAGTAGGTCCCCTGTAGGGGGTATTGGGGGGGCATCCAGCACTTGAGAATCTTTAAAATTGAGATCCTTGGAAATTGGATTTCTGGCACTCTGCAGCCAAGTCAGCATGCTATAATGTCTCACTTTTTTTAATTTAAAGGGTTTGACCTAACTCCCTAGATCCACTCCAGTTATACTTTTCTTCACAATTTTTGCTGGCAGCCCCCCCCCCCCCCAACCCCCACTAGAGGACATATCCCTGCTTGATTAAAAGTTTTCTTGCCAACTGCTACAGAACTGCTAAAGAACAAGCCTTGGACAATTGATTGGTTGTGAGACAGCATGAAGTTTTTTCTTTAATTTGCAAAAGGTTTAAAGGTTCTCAGGTTATTCCAAAAGCAGTATAAAATCTATTACTGAGAACAAGCTAATTTTTAGTTATTTCCTTGCTAAAGATTACTTTTAAGAAAGTTTGAGTTAAGGTTGCTTCATTGATATGCACAAAAACAGGCACACCTGTGGGAGGGGATTGGGGGGAGGGGCAGGAAACTGGGAGGATAAGGGAGAGGAGAGGAAAAGGCAGGAAGCAGGAGGTTCTGACCCCCCTGTCCCCCTCCCTACACACACGCACACACACTCCTGTAAATTAAAAGAAATTCTAGAATCAACCTGAATTGAAAACCATTGACAACATATTTTCAAAATTACCTCAGGAAATGCATTCTTTATTCCAGTTCCAACATTCAGTATATGAGTTATGTTATTTCTTCTTAGTTCTTCCATATTTTGTGCTCCATCTTGTGAGCTGATAAATAAGTTCTCCTGCACTTTATAAACCTTGTCATCAGGATCAACATCCTCACAGAACCCCAGACATCTCTCTCCAGTATCTACAGCAAGAAGACTCCCATCCTCATTCTTGTGTTCTATAAACTTAAGGTAACTGTCACATGAATCAAAACCTGCAAAGAAACAAGCACCTACTCCAACATACAAAATGGCAAATAAAATGCCATCAGACCTTCATGTCATAAAATTGAATTATTTGTGTTGTTTGGCAGGAAATTTCTGTACCCTTCCCTTGGATGATCTTTTGGCTTGAACTCTCCACCTCCCAGAAATAAATCTCAGTTTTTTGAACCCCTTCCCCCTCCACTTCCTCCAAATTTCAAATTTGGTGGGAATAGATAATTTCTAAAACTGCACATCGCTCATGTGTATGATTATACAAAGCTCTCCAGTTTAGCTTCATATTGTATTTTTTTTGGAATTTCCATTAACCTTCTGTGGGGTATGTATAGATATTTTCTTGAACCAAACAATGCCCAATTTCCTTGAGATGCGCCTGCAGGGAATTACGGCAGTTGTATTCATCAAAGTAAGCATCCAGTCCAAGATGATGAATACAACTACCATGATTCCCTGCAGGTGCATCTCATAGAGGGAATTGGCCAAAAGATGCACTGCAGACAGGAAGCTAGGCAGACAGGACAGACAGACAAAAGGATGGACAAATGGATGAAGACTGACAGACACACAGACACACAGACAGACACACAGACAGACAGACAGACAGACAGACAGACATAGACTGAAAGACCAAGCTACAGGACTTTCATTTTGGACAAGTCACTAGCTTCCCCGTTGGACTTGACCCCAGATAGGTTCCAAGAATAAGATTGCTTCACACTTTTTCATTGAGCCTTTTTTTAACAGTTTTTAAACTCTCCCTGGTTGGCCTGGGATAACACTTGATAATATGTACATAACTGCAATGCAATTTCTCTTTTACCTTTCTCCCCTCGGATGTAGTAATTCTAGTGCGAACAGATTTGAGCTTGTCCACCGAGAAAACTTCCACCTCACGAAGAAAACTCATGGCTTTTAATTGGCATGAAGAGATCTGGGAGCTAGATATATGAATAAATTAGCCTCTCTTTCATGCGAGTATGTATAGTGCGCCTGATAGAAATTGAATCACGTTTGAAATTTTCTTAACAGATCGAAAACTTGTTAAAAACAACATATTTTAAGCCTATCTTCGTCTCGCAATGATGTCAGGATCCTCGCTACGTTTTGCTATGACCAACGTTCGTTGTATTGCTAAACAGACAAGGGTCTTTGCTACGCCAGTGCGACATAATGTTTCACCTGCTGGCTTCCAAACTTCTGCAAAGAAGGGATTTCTTTTACGTAATTCAAGGCTACTACATACGTCATTCATAAGAAAAGCAGATAAGCCTGACCAAGATACTGCAAAGAATCAGGAGAAAGATGAAAAGAAGCTGGCTCTGAGGGACAGATTGAAGTTAGTGGTTGCAGAATATGGGACAACAGCAATAGTGTTTCATGTTACCATTTCTCTCACTTCACTTGGGATATGTTACGCTGCTGTGAAAAGGTCAGTTAATGTATATTGATTCAATGCAAAGAAATACGTGTAAGTGTAGACTTTGACAGGGAAAAATACTTATCAACTCTTTCAATTTGTATTGAGCTAAGGCCATCCCGCAGTGGGGGAGTTGGGTACAGAATAATTGGGTGGGGGTGTGTGGCCCACTTCCCAAAACTTTTACCCTATTGATGACCAAAATCTGCAATTTTACCGACCCTTTCTATGACCTGAAAAAAAATTTGATACCCTATTTAAGACCTGACACAGTTGCTATAATCATAATTTGTGAAGGGCTTTTGTTGATGGTCTCATCAATAATGATGAGAAAGTAACTTCTTCTAAAAGAACATACCCAATTTAAGACCAGAATGGCCAAAATCGACACCCTTTTTATGACGAAAATGGCTGAAAAACCCTACCCTTTGGGGCTGCATACATACCTATATAGCCCATATAAGGGAGTATCGGGGGGGGGGGGCATCCCCACAAAATGTTTCCTTTCCATCACCTGACATTTTTTTCTTGGAAAAGTAAATAAAAGATCCTGATACACTGTCCGAGAAGCAAAATTTTACTTTTTATTAACCAATTCACATTTCAGAAGGAAAAGAAAACTAATCCAAACATCTGTTACAAGCATTACAAATAGACAACACATGGTCTAAAAAACTTAATTGTATTATTATTATTAACTGTTTTTTAGACCTTGCGTTGTCTATTTGTAATGTTCATAACCGCTGTTTGTTTTCTTTTCTTTCTGAAATTGAAATGGCCGAAGAATAAGTTAGAATATTTATGATGTCAATTTACATTGTTTTGTTTGCTTGTTTGTTTTTCTTGTTCTAGTGGAATTGATGTTCAAGCAGCTCTCCAGAAAATTGGTCTCAGCTCTAAAGTGACTGACTCTAGTGTAGCAACAGAAGCAAGTACATTTGTGGTGGCATATGCTTGCCACAAAGTATTTGCTCCATTGAGAATGTTAATGACAATCACCTGCACTCCACTGATTGTCCGTAAGCTGCGGAAAATCGGATTTCTTAAAGAACCGCTGAAGCAGTAGAAAACAACTCTGACTGCAGGACTTTGTTTTATATTGTTGCAGCAGCATGACTGTAGAGCAGATTTAAATAATTGTAATAACTACAGTAGTAGAAATCAATGTTAATGATATTGTATCCAGTTGAAAACCAATTTTATTTAGTGGTTGACCATTGTGAAAATGTTAGAAGGTTATTTAAATCTCTGGTTGAGATTGAGATAAATGAAGTAACACGTGCATTGCAAGCTAAAATTGTGATAATTATTTCCTTAATATTATTACATGCAGGGCAGGAAAAAAACCAGGTCCAATTACCTGGGGCAAGTAAATTTTCCTATTGGGCAAGTGAAAATGGAAGTTTGGTGGTCTGGTGGGCAAGTGAAATTAGCCTCAGTAGTCTTGTTAGTTGATGAGGCATGAACATTGCGGGCCTATTGGGCAAGTAATATTTTGCGGGGACAACTGAAAACTGAAATGTAGTGGCCCGCTGGGCAACTGGATTTCAAAATTTTTTCCTGCCCTGACATGGATGTTCTTTTAGGTGCCTTTCAATAACACACTCTGAGTTTTAAAAACCCAACTATAAAGGATGAATTTGTTGCTACTATCAACTATGGCATGAACCTTGAAAAAGAAACAAACAGAATGGATCAACATCTTCATGTAACAGTCACAACCCACACATGGGACCTTTCAAACCTGTTGAATTTAACTTCCATTTCCTTATGGGTCTGCTAAGAAAATAGCTAGCATTGAAACATGTAGCATAACACAAGTTTGTGTGTTATTGAAAGGTCTTTCATTTTTCAAGATTTTTTGTCAAGTTTTACATTTCACTACATTTTCAGCCTCTGCAAGGGTTTTTGTCAGGCCAAGTTTTTGTGTAGACTGTCAGCAGTCTCTTTCCTTTCCTGTGATGAGTTTTGTTTCTGAGCATGTGACAAACAATGGAGTGGCAAAGCTGTACACTGCTAGAAGCATGTTTCTGGTGTTGTTCTTGGGTGAGGCACTTTCCTCATTATGGTCAATACTATGCCTCTCCCCACCCAGGTCCTGGTTGTTCAAAGCTTTGACAATCCTATGTCCACATAAACCAGACAAATAACTATTAATTTACCACATGTGCTGGTTAGTAATTTCTCCAGGGGATGATGTTATTCATCCAGTGCTGTGGGAGGGTAGCAGTACCTTAAAGGGTAGCAACACCTTAAAGAGGTAAAGTCTGCATGCGAGCCAAGTGGCCCATCATACTGGAGTTTATTTTCAGCTTCGGTAGCATTAAGTGGCAAGGAGTATTTCTACTCTCCTTGGATTTGTTGCTAGCCATCCCAGGGTTACCCTCCAGTATTTAATTTTTATACACCTGGGTGGAGAGAGGCACTGTGAGAGTATAGTGTTCTTTCCCCAGGGACACAACACAATGTCCCCAGTTAGGGATCAAACCTGGACCGCTTGATTCAGAAGCAAGCGCACTAAACCATGAGGTCACTGCACCTCCACAAATGAGTAATGAAAAAGCATCCAAAGAATCCAAGGCCATATGTATTATACTTTCACATAAAAACTCTCTTGATTATTTGAGAAATGAAGAAAACATGTACCTACAAGTCATGGTTTCTAAATTTCACTGTGTTGTTTTGCAGCAGTATAAATTCTAATCTGCTTGCCTTTGCCAGTGATAATAACACGTACAGTGGAACGCTGTCTTACAGTCACCTCATAATTACGGCCAGTCTTTTTTTTTGGCCTGGCAAAATGCCCACACATTTTCTTATAAGAAAACCCTGTTAATCTAACCACTCCCTTTCCATTGTTAATATTGTATGTAGTAATTGAAGATTCAGCTTTTTTTGAATTGTTATACCTGCATTTCAAATGCCTGTCAAAGAGCAGTTGTGAAAGTTGGCACTACCCCGTTAATACAGCCACCCTGTTAATACAGTCAAAATTTCATGGCCTGTTGGTGGCCTCATTAGCAGGGTTCCACTGTATGTAAGAAATGAGAGCAGCAATGTTCTCTCAAGAAACAAGGCTTTGATCTGTACATTAGATCATCTTTTATTACTGTCACAAAATATTTATGGCAGTGATGGTTTTTAACAGCAAATTCAAACATGTTTTTTAAATTGAAAGAACACCAAAAAAATTATTGTAAGTTGTGCTCGCTAATAAAAGTAAACTTTTCAGCTAGTTTTCGGCCAATCCTATAAAGCTCTACTGACTACTGATAGATGACCTCAAAGCTGACTGACTTACAGATTATTGTAAGTAAACTTTTCTTATTAAGAGATATCCCAACATTATTTTAGACTCTGGTTTCCTTTCATCCTTACTATAATCTTACTATACCTCCAAATACCAAAAAGCTGCTATGATTTTAATTCATAATGTGTAGTAACTACAATAACTGCAGTTAAATTGGAAAAGAAGCACACAAATGTATTTACAATGTACAGTATCAAACAAACAAGCCTATCGAACCGAGGAAAATTTCTGATAAATCTTTTTACTTTCTCTTAACATAAACTTAATTTACTTTCCTTTACTTTACCTTACTTTGCAAAGACTATATGTACCTGTGATGGTGATGGAACTGGAATTATCACTGGTTTTAAACTTGTTCTAATAATGGCATGATTTTACATTTTACCAAGGCACATTGTCTTTCAACATGCACAAAAAACCTTCTAGCAACGTCTTTGCTTTTTTTTCTCGATCGACTGCAGATATTTTCAAGTACACACATGCAGTACACTTTTAATTAATTTGGATTCATTTGACATAAGGTGCACCCTTATTCAGTAGTGGTGGGGCTATCAAGCATTTCATGCTTGTATCTACACATGAATTGTCTTCTTGTAATTTGGTTGTGCTCAGCTATTTGCAACAATTTACAATCTATTAACTATCTAGTGCTTGGTCCCTGTACATGTCAATGCACTGTCTGTTGGTAGCTGCTGCAGTGTGTCCAGAGGGTGGGCATTATTCCTAATCCAAGGGTGTGCCAGCACGCCATTGAGGGGAAGTCTCTTACTGGGATCATGCATAAGAAGCTGTGGAAAAATTCAAGTAGGCAAGGATAAGGATAAGCAAGAACAGTACTTTGCTTTTGGTTTTACCACACTCAATTAGAAACAGCTCTTGGAAAAAAAGTTTATGCCCTTCCCTTTATGTTGGTAAGTAGCTTATAATTATTCTCTCTAAGTTTCCAGATCATGGGGGAAAGTTCTATAATTGTAACTTATTAAAGAAATACTCTTTCCTTTATTCATCCTCATTCATGTTTCATTTCACCAAATGAATGTTACCCATTCAATCTAAATGCCCAAACATTTTTACTTCGTCTAGTTTTAATCTCTTTATCAAAATCTCTTTCTTTCTATCTTTCTGTGAGTTTACCTTTGCAATAAGGTCTCTTGCCCCATCCGACACGTAACTTGGGAAATGAAGGTCAACCTGAGGAAATAGATATGGAGATATAAATCATGAGGTGACCGTGTAAAGTGTACAAAAAGAATTACATTGACCACTTATTGTGTTGTACCAGAAAATATCCATACCCCTCCCACAGAAGGTTTTTTGGTTAGAACCTTCCCACTTCTTCAGAAATTCCAGTTTGGCTTCATAATTTCTTTTAAAACATTTGGCTTTTGAAACCCACCCTCTCCTTCAAAATTTCCAATAATCTTCCACGGGGGTGGGTATGGATATTTTCTGAAAATGCACATTAAATTAATATGTATGTAGTGGAGCCTGTTTGTAAACATGCTGGGTATATATTTAATGTAATTTATTATTTTCTTACCCTTGAAATTTTGCGGTATGTTTCACGGTGGCCATCAGCTTCAAAAGGTGGCTTTCCAACTAGAAATTCGTAACACAACACCCCCAGACTCCATAGGTCAACCTAAAACAAATTATAAGCAAAAAGAAGTGAATTCAAAATTATTGTCAAAAAATTAATACCCTAAGGCAGCAGCATTACTCATTCAAGTGTTTTTATGACAGTAAAATGACACAACTACTAGCCATGATACTGGCTGGTGCACACATCGCTAGCAGTTAGGAAATCTCTCGTTTCAAGCCCTGGCCTGTATTGATCATTGTGCTGTGTTTTTGGGCAAGAATGGCACTTTTCACTCATAGCACCTCTCTTCACCATGGGCTCTCCACCCAGGAATAAGTTAGAACAAAGTTTACTTTATAGAAGGTTATCGAAAGAGGCACTGTGCAAGCAAAGTGTCTTGCCCAAGAACACAACACAGTACTGGTGTTCCTGCAGGCCAAGGCTCAAACCAGGACCACTTGACCATGGGTTGAGTGCACTGTCAAACCACAAGGCTGCTGCACATCCACATACAGTACTCAGTATTAGACACTAAATCTAATATAAATATGGTTCTCCAAAATGCTGTTTGACTTGAGTGCAAGAAAACAATCACAGAATGATGTACCTTAGCTGGTTACTGGCTGATTGCAACAGTTGAAAAAGGTCTTACATGTATTTCCAGCTAAATTTTACTAAGAAAACAAGACTTGAGGTAATTAATTTTGAAGGTGTTGAAGCCAGCCAGAGCTGAAACAATTCAGTTTTTCATATAGTACCAGCTTATACAGAGCAAGCTTTGCCCCTAGCCAAGTTACCTTTTCATCATGTGCCTTTCCTTCAATCATCTCAGGAGGGAGGTAGTCTAATGTTCCACAGAGTGTTGTTCGTCTGAAATTCAAAATGAGTTTTAACACATAAGTTGGATCTACGGTAGAATGCACCAGCCAATCATTAGCCCTCACTGCTGATTACTCCTTGGTTTAATAATTTTCGTGAACACATATTATCAACAATTTAAAGTTTATTTACCTTGAAGAAGGTGCATGAACTGACCATCCAAAATCTGCAATCTTTAAATCACCCTGTATATGAAAAGAGCCAAAAAATAAAACGTTGTTTGGGTGATCGAAAACATTATCAAATTTACCTACTGTAACAGTAAAACTGATTACTTCATCTGTAGACATGCAAGTTATAACTTTCTCAAACTCATAAAAAAATTCATCAATTTTGAACAAAGGAAATCATGACCATGATGGTTTGGATATCTGATCTTAATTAGCTTTAGATTTTTACGAATTTATATCTCCATTTTCTCCTTCATTTTAGTTTCGATTGAGAAGATCTACATGTATCAAACACTAAAATAAGTGTTTGATATATCACATATTAAATTTGCAGTGATAGTACCAGTCCTCCTGAACAAAAACAATCAAATGCATAGTAATCACAGAGTAAAATTGATTTGTTGAACAGCACTGATCAGTGATTCAAAAACTCATTTAATGAGTTTTTTAACGAAAAAAATGAATGTTTAAATGAGTGTCTTTAAATCTGATAGACACAGCTAAAGTTTACAGCCAATTTTCTTCAGAAAACCAAAAATAAACCCAAGGATTATTCTACAAGTGATTACAGTAGATCTACCACAAACGTTTTTGAAGCTGTTCAAAAACCTTGCAGCATGTGTTTTATCGAGTTTAACACACTCAGCTACATCTCAAGTTTTAAATCAGATAAAACAGTGAATATTGGTTTTTTAGATATTACATAATTTCACAACATTGTTATATAAATATTACCAGTAAGCTCTCTGAATTGAAGTAAACAGAAGTGCATGTTTGGTGATCAAGTCTACTCTAGCTCAAGAAAATTCTGAGATTTCATCAGTTAATGATTATACAGTGTACTCAGGTCTTGTGTAGACAATGGCTGACAATTTGCATGGAGACTAGCCTGAGAAGTAATTTGATGACTCACCGATAATTTTAAATAGTAAGTTCTAAAGGTCTAAAAAGGATTCAGATAATTCTCAAACCTTAAGCCCAAGAAGCAAGTTTTCTGGTTTAATGTCTCTGTGAATCACTTTTTTTGAATGGCAGTACTTCAAGGCCTGGGCCAGTTGACGGATATACTGCAAATTAATGCAACGCAAAATTATCTGTCAAAATAACTGACTCAGACTCCTTCAAACAACTAAATTTAAATTAAAGTAACCTTTACCTATTTTTTCTTGTTATCTAACAATATCATTGCAAGAACATGGATTGTACATACATACACAAGTCACTGACAGTGAACCACAATAAGCCAATAATAAAGAGAATTTGGCCCAGGTCCCATAACATACCTCAATAGACTATTTATTAATAAGTAGTAACTAAAAAATAATTTCAAGATTGCAATTTACTCAGAGTCACTAATTTGGGAAAAAAACTTACATTTGATGAGGTTTTCTCGTCAAATCTCTCAGCTTTGTTCAACTCTTTATACAGTTCACCTTTTGGAGCATACTCCAAAATAAGATATACTCTTGTGCTATCATAGAAATATCCAAAAAGCCGCAGAATATGGGGATGCCTAATAAGTTAATAAAAATTCCAGAACAAGCTAATTAAACAATGAGCAAAATGAATACACGATGTGTGGAGTACATAGAATAATAATCTTAGTAGTAGAGGCAGTGAGTCTGACTGCTGCAGCAATAATACTAAATATTAAGCTTTTTGGACCTTGGAGATCTGAGTGTATGGATGTCCATACAGTAGCCTATTATATACGGCTGTTAAATTATGAATAATTATGGCTATTGATCTAGTAAGAATGTTTGATGCAACAAATATTACGGAGATGGAAAAATAGCAAGATAATAAGACCTACAGCTAGAATAGATATAGATGACATAATGATTGTGAATGTAAAGTTTGGCAGTAAGAATAACTAAGAGATAAAATGTCAGAAGATATGTGGAAGAGCATTCTCCTTCCCAGAGGCCGTGCTCCTTTCGGTCAGCACCAAGAATTGCAACCTCTGGCCAGGTCCAATTTTCTGAATATGCGCAGAGAATTCTTTTTGTATTCTCAGCCAATCAGATTTGTCAAACTTGACTCTGAGCATGCGTAGAGTGACGGGAAGTCCGTGAATCGCAGACCTCCGGTGTTGGACCTTCCCAGAGGCCGCTATTCTTGGTGCTGACCAAAAGGAGTGCAGCCTCTAGGACGAGAATAATGGAAGAGAGAAGTAAAGCCTCATCTTGAAGAAGATGGACAGCTATATATACACATAATGATTACAACTCAACATTTACCTGAGATGAGACTGAATTTCAATTTCTCTTCTTAGCTGATGTTCCACATGATTTTTCTCCAGCTGGGATTTGAACAAAACCTAAAAATCAAAGGATCTAAATTAAGAAGACTGTCTTGTCACTAGCATCCGGTACATACATTGTGGACTGGACATTTGAATATCTTCAACTGGATACCATCCATTCTTTCTTGAAAATCTAGGTGACGTGCAGGGCTGCCCTCTGCAAGTGAAAATCACAATCTACTTCATGATCCTTGGATCTAATGAGCTATTTGTCGAATTCTTCTTAAAAAGATGGCACAATTAGCCATTTATTCCAACAATAAAGCAGCCGACTTCAAAAATGTCTGACAACCCAGAAAGCTTATTGCTGCTGGTGCCTTACTCTAACTTGTTTCTGAAGCAAGAAGCAACAGCCTGTTAGTAGTCTTTTTGTTCCCAATGTTGCAAACAGTAATACATAATGTTACCATTTAAACAGCAGCGTGTTGTTTTGGTATACCTTGAGTGCCACAATGTATTTGCTCTTCTTCTCTCTTGCAAGATAAACATTTCCAAATTTCCCTGGGTTAAAAAATAAGAGTAACTTAGTATAGCTGAGTCTCCCGCAAATACAATGAACACCATTACCGTCAGAAAATAGTGTCCACCCACACTGTTTGTACAGATTTGTGACTCCATGACGACAGAGAGATCCTATGAAACATGTTCATTAGCTGATAGCGGGAGTTACACTGTACAGTCAAGCCTCTGTTTATTACACAGTCATCTCCCAAGTAAACAATTGGCTCCTGACCAGCCACATATCTATAACCTCATATGTGTGAACACCTTTTCTGACTGAGAGAAGCATGTTACCCTATATCTGCAATATTTGATCAGTGCACATTATTTTATACAACCAAAACAAACTAACCTTTTCCAAGGGGTTTGCCAATATCAAAGTCGTCTAGTGACCAACAAGCCCTATAAAAAAATAAAAATATAATTTTAATTATATAAGGTAATGGCATGTTGTTAGAAATAGGAGCAAAACTAAATTAACGTTATGCAATCTTTCTTGGAAAGGGGAATGCTAGCTGGCTAAACCTTAAGCTTAATTACCTTGCGTTCTTCGAGTTCTTTGATTTTCCCTTCTCTTGATTTTCTTTATTCTCGTCCTGTGGTTCCGCAGTTGCATGGTTATCTGTTCGCTGAGCTTGAGCTAAGGACATAAGATTTTGTCTCTGTGTAGAACAACTGTGTTCTTGCTTTCCATTTGGTTTGTGCCCTTGCAAGTCCTTCTTGACACATAACTGAGTCGCAGAAGCAGGTTTGTGTGGACCGTTAGTCATAATATTGTGTCCCTGGGCATGTTGACGATTAGCAAAGTTGTTGGTCCCCGATGATAGTTGCATACATTCTTGAAGTCTTCCTTTCAAGGCTTGAGTTTCTTTCAGGGCAACTCTTTGTGGATTCGCATTACTGTTGACTCCGATTGCTTTAGGAATATCCTGGATTAAATACGATAATACATAACTTGATTAATTGTAGCCTCTATAAAATCTAAGCTCACTTCTACGATAAAGTTGAGTCTGAGATGAGATCAGACAAAATGTGTTCGAATATCTCATCATCCATCATGGCGGCCACATTCAACTTTTCCTAAGCACATTTTTAAAATCAAATTACGCCAACAGTGTCTTAAAGAATTAATGAATTCCGTTTGTTAAGTAGGGATTTAGAATATCGGAAACTTTACAACTTACACAAAACTTGAAAATTACGGCGAACGAGAACAAGGTTTCCACGAACTTGTCCCCGAGTAACCCGCTCACTTCGATAGAGTAGAGATCGCATCATCTAATTTAGCCTTCTTTTATCGCTCGCATACACTGTAAATTGTTAGAAATCTTAATGAACTTACCATCTGTTCGAGTTATCCAAAGTTCTTCTCTGCCAAGAAAACTGAAGTCACCTGTAATTCGCTGAGAATTGCAGCCTTCTACAAAAACATGGCGTGCTTCGAAAATTAAAACGCCAGATCAGAAACTTCGAATTTCGTTCGTTACCTTTATGCGAGCATTTGATTGGTAGAAATTCAAAGTCTTTACCATATTAGGAGTTACACCTTCGTTCCCAGTGGTGTCCGCGTGAATCTCTTGAAATAGCATGAAAAAGGACAAGGAACAACAAAGACGGTCAACAAACAATTTGCATCAGTCTGATTTTGATAATAGATTATTCCGTAAATCTAAGCATGATAAAATGAACTACGTCAGTTAAATATTAACAGAATACTCAAGAGAATGATTAGCTCTGTTTGTAGCTTCTGTTCGAGATAATTTGGTGATTTTTTTTTTCGTCTCTAAGAGAATTGAGTATATTCGGAGCGTAAAAAAGTGAACTGAATGTTCAATTTGATTGGATCTACAAGTATGACAGTCAGTAGTCGCTTCAAGGGGGCGTCGATAAAACTCGGAACATGAATTTTCAAAAATAAAATATACAAAAATAAACTGTTATCAGCTCTAAATATGAAAAGATATTTTGGGGGGTAGGGGAGTCAGTAATGGAGGGGTAGGGAGCACTGGGTATTCATTCAACTGACCACAATGAGTACAAGCTCCTCTTCTTTCCTGCCAATTGCATCAAGTGGCTTTACAACACTCTGTTTCTTCAACACAAACATGGACTGTTGTAACCGGTTCTACGGAATTGTCGGAAACGGTCGAAAATAACGCGAGAAGCGATAATAACGGAGCGTTCTTCGATCTTTACTCTTCGATGTTTACAGGACAGGATCTCGATACGGTTGACGAGACGACGACTCAAAGTACGAAATGTCTCGAATGACACTTAATATTTAACATATGTCACACAACGTGTCACGGTAATTTAAAGTCTCTTCACCATGGACGATTAACAGAAGTCCGAGTAACAAGCAAGTTATTATTAACAAATCATTAGAACACGACCATTAGACAAGAAACTCAATTAATGCCGAAGAGTTTCTATTTCTATCTCATGGAGAAACTATTCCTTCATGAGAAATCGTGTAAACGCATATCTTTGAATTGACGTAATGAATTAAATAAAGAAATCACACTCGTGTACCCATATTTTTTGGTCTGGTTTAAGTGTTTGGCTCGGATATCAGGCCAAGACGAACTGAAGTCAGTCTTGAAGATGTCTTTTCTCTCTCCCAGTTCTTTCTAGTTATGCAAGTAACTCTCTCTGAGCTTCCACAATCCCAAAAAGTTGAAAATTAAGCGTTAACAAAAAGCTAAATTGCGAGAGAATTTATGCGTTCATCTTCACAATTCGTGTCCTTGACACCAGCTTGATTCTCGGCTGACTTTGGTCGTCGGGCTTATATTTTACCCCGGGCTGAAATTCACCATGTAATCGCAACAAGATTTCAGCCCCCAAAACCGCGGGCTGAAACTCGCCATGTAATTAATCACCCCCTAACTAGATTCGATGCACGATTGCAATTTTGTCCGGTTGCAGTTAGTGTATGCCTCCCAATCATGGCATAAGAGGCCTTTTGCAACGGTTGGTCTCGTGACTGATAATTTCTAAGCTTTTTGCTACAGCTACATGAATTTCAGAACTGGAAAGAGCATGTTTTAAATAGCTAGAACGTCTATTTTGAGGCCAATTCCATGTAAGGCTGAGATGTAAGGTTACAGTATACCTTCGGGTCAGCAATTTTCTTCAAATTTGGAGTTTTGGAGTCAAAGTAGTGGTCGAGGAATAATCTCCAATTTCTGAATTACCCGTACGGATGTCACGAATTGACTACTCAGTTGATCAGCATTGTTGTTGTGACTACCCAGCATTTTTGGTATTAGGTGTGTCTCTATTTAAAAGTTAAAAGTAAACAGAGACCACGTCTAAACCGTGGGCCAGTTCGAAAAAGCGAAAACAGCGAAGAACGAATGAAAATACATCAGTGAGAGAAGAGGCGAAAGTTCGCCACGCGGATGAAGCTATAGCTATCGTCTAAGGCGGGCAAAATATTCGTAGTAAGAGAAAAGAAAGGTTCTGTAAAAATTTCGGAACTTGACAGCAATAACAGGGATGTTGACTGAGACTCTTCTGATGAGTCCGACATCGACGAATCGTCGGACTCATTGAGACCATTTGAAATATTATCCATATAGAGTTGACCAGATACAGTTGCTCCCCGCACTTTCTTTTGTCTGTTTTCTTCGCTCAGCCACTCTAGCGTTCGTATCCTTTTTAGCCTTCCCCATTTTACCAGACCAGCTTCAAGAAAAACCGAGCTACGGAAAAATTATCTTTCCGCCTTCGGCGCCTTGAGCGCATTGCGAAACACAAGGGTTTTTTAGAGATTCGCGCGTAAATTTCACCAGGAGGTTAACGGTGGTAAACTTTCCCTGCACTGATTGGCTCAGCTATCTGAGAACCCAGTTGAAGGCGTTTGTGGGCGGAGTTTGTTTGCGGAGCAGAAGATTTTCTTAGCGCTGTTTTCTCGAATAATTTTTTCACTTGAAGCAGACACTTTAGAGAGTTATAACTGAAAGGGAATTTGTTCAATTGCCCTCAAATTTGGACAGAAGCTAGTTTAACATATAAACTACAAAAGCTGCCTGGAAATTATTAATTTCGAAATACTTTTTCTTCGAGAGCGATTTTTGTACAATCACTCCACATTTTTTNATATAAACTACAAAAGCTGCCTGGAAATTATTAATTTCGAAATACTTTTTCTTCGAGAGCGATTTTTGTACAATCACTCCACATTTTTTAATCCTATTTCGAAAATGTTATATAACTTTTTACTACAATTGAATATGCCAAAACGCGGACACACTTTTAAAGCGCTTTGGGCCCTGAAACCGAGGAACCAATTAAATTGGCGAAAAACGAAATTCGTTTTGACTTGTAGCTTTCGAAAGGTGATTCGGGCGCTCGCATTTAATGGTCGTGAAAAATTCGACAATTCATTTTATTTCGAATTTGTTGGCATAGTTTGATAGCCAGCTCTATAAGCTTTAATTTGATATAGGGGTTTAGGTATCCACACTTAAACTGCACACGCTACATCGCTTGGACGCGAGACACCCTCTGAAGGTATACTGTAATCTTAATGACGATTTGAGTATTGCAAAAATAAGAAGGATTTGTACGGAATCGGGGAGGCTTTGCCCTCCAGAAACCTTTTGATTTTAAGGCATTTTGAAAACTGCAAAATTACAAGGATTTGTATGGAAAACCACTGGAGTGTGATTGGAAGGCAGAGCATCTTTTCTTTCCATGTCTGATGACATTATGGCCATTATGCAACCTCGTCCCCAGGATCCTCTCTCCGCCTCGAGAGAGGGAGGACCCTGGGGACGAAGTTGCCCATTTAAAATATGCATTACCAATGACTTAATCAGCACGTCACGTGACCAACTGTTGCAAAAGGCCTATTATTTGATGATCAGCGTTATTTTAGTGATAAATGCTTTTGTTTAGAGGATAATCTCGTTCACTGTTGTATTTTCATGCTTTCCAGGCTTACTGAAAAGCGCTTTGAACCTTACTTGAAGGAGTCATTGTGGCCCCATGATGTTACCTGTAATCGGTAATGATATAAAGACCTATTTTTCCCTCGGGTAGATTTTCATGCGTTTAATAGGATGTAATGCCCGTGTGCATAAGTATGTCTGTGTGCGTGTTCCTCGTGTTACTCGTATGTTATTTATCCGTATGTACCAGTATGTTAGCGTGATGCTGCTACTCGTAAGATTGTTATGTACCCCTATGTATCCATGTGTTACTTGAAAGCACTGGAATGTATTTGTATGTTACGCGTATGTTATTCTCAGTACTCATGCGGTGTTTTACTGAGTTATGATTGCTTTGCGAGTGTCCAAGTCCGCCTAAGGGGCCTAGTCTGTTATCTTTACATCTTCCCTTTTCTTGTCATTTGGTATGTGCGAGATACTGATTAAAAACCGCACTTTGCAAAATGGCCTTTTTCGGTTTTCAATTTTGTCCAGTTACTGAGAAACCTTAAATCTCCTTTGCTATAGCCCTTTGCTTTAGGCCCTTTGGGTCTAACATTTTATTTTCTTCAGTCTCTTTATGCCCTAAAATGTATCACCACCGCATATGGTCACGGAATTTCTTTTATATCTGAAGTGTAGCGTTATAATTGGTTGATATTTTAAGTTCTGGAACGCTGATCAACGTGTTATTGTTCTCCAATATTTTGCTTCAAGCACTTACAATTAAGCAACTTTGGAGATCCTGAATAGCAGAAAAGTTTATAGATTATTCTGTAAAAGAAAAAAATAATCCCTCTCTTAGATACAAGGGCTGCAGGCCTTTCTCCCGTCTCAAGTATTTATGCTCTTATTTGTTACGGTCTTTCTCGCTGCTCCNTATTTCAGCCTCTGCTTTAAACCAATACTTAAAACTTTGTCAAGTACACTAAAATATTAATGCATTATACATGCACTGTTCTCAATGTACCCAACTATGATATGTATTTTATACAACAGTTGGTAGTTTGAAAAAATCTCTGACAGATGTGAAAATTTAATACAGAGACATAGCATAAAGGGAAGGAGTGTATTCTTTCCTTCTTTCTGCCAGTATTTCTCTCAACTTTTGATTGGTCTGCATGAAGTTGCCAGAATAAATACACCAGGCCAGGGCAGGGAAAAACCCAGGTCTGATATTGCTCAGGGCAAGTAAATTGTGCTCTTGGGCAAGTGAAAAGGGATGTTTGGTGGTCCGATGGGCAAGTGAAATTAGCCTCAGTAGTCTTGTTATAGTCTATCACTGTCAGATTACAGACAATACCTAGTACATCACATTGTGAACCTATGGGGCTAGTAATATTTTAGTCGGGGCAACTGAAAACTGAAATGCACTGGCCCACTGGATTTCAAAATTTTTTCCTGCCCTGCCGCGACATACATGTAGAATCTGTATCCTCTTTATTAACAATGTTAAATAATATTCACCTGAACAGGGAACCAGAGAGAAATTTCTGGTGCTTACCATTTAGCCAAAAAATCTGGAAAATGTTGGTTGAAAGTCAAATGTAGCAGTATTTTTCCATTTGCTAAACCTTCCAGTCTCTTGACAGCCGAAAACAATTACAGGAAATCAAATTGTAAATGGTAATTAGTGCCATCTCCCTCAGTTGGTTTGCTGATTTTGGAAAATCCCTTACCAATTATTTGATGGTCATCTTAACCAGTTTATTCTACCAAATGGTAAGCACCCTTAATCCTAAAAGGGAACTTCCATTTTGGATAAAAAAACCCTCATTTAGAAAACAAAACCTGTTAAACTGGATAGCTTTAAATATATATTTTTGAAAGCTTGTGAAAATATGGTACAAATTACCCTTCACCTTTGATCTTTCTTTTTGGTTAGTCTCATCTGCAGCCGATATTAGGGTCATCACCCTAATAACAACCACCTTTATAATGACTGTTTGGAGACTATCCCTTGGTTTGAAGGCACATGTTTTAGTAGTTCCCCCAGTCACCAATAAGAAACACTGAAATTATTTACTTTTTCTTTTTGATATTTGCCCGCTTGCGCTTCGCTCTCTGTTTCCTGATAAGTACATAAGATGCATAGAATGGAGCGGCAACTATTCCCGCACTAAGCACAGCACATCCTGCGGTGACGGCTAACCCGGCTATAATAGGCACAACCATCACTTGTCCACCAAAAAGTGCTCCACGCACCGCAATACGCTGCACAGGCTGATCAGGTTTGTAATTGTATTTACAGCCCAGGATGCTGAAACGATCGTAATGGTTTCCTACAAATTTTAAGTGATGATACTTCCCTCCACATCTGTAGCAGAATTCTGTGTGACACCTGTGGAAGATAAACTAGTAAGCCTCAAGTAATCGCCCCAAAATGTTAAATTTTGTTTCCATACAGTTCAGTCATTTACAATATGGATGCTTGAACCAGGTCACTTACACCTGACTTTGTTATACAAAAACGCCACAATCCTTTGCACTTGATGTTAAAGGAGCTCAGTCATGTTATCTTGAGTTATTTTGGCAACATACAAAATAAACTTTATATTAAAGAAAACCTGAAAATAATAGATAGAAGATAGACGAGATAGAAAAACACCAAAGAGATAGTAATAAACCATAAAATAAGGATGGAGAAGATTGTCATGATGCACCTGAAAAATTTAGGCTTAACTTTTCAAGATACACAAAACATGACACGGCTCCTTTAATTGTTTTGATTGGTTAACTTTGCCCCATGTGGCTCAGTTCATGTAAAGGCACAGTACATTTTGAGTCCTACATGTATTCAGGTATAATAAATAAAATTTTGATGGGACAGGACTCAAAAATGTATTGGGATGACGAGAAAAAGGGGGGCCAAAACCATTTGTGACCAATTGTCTGCTTCAATTTTTGCAAAGCATCCCAACCTCTTGACCGGTACTGTGGGTAGCAACCTGACCCCCCCCCCCTTCCCCCCAAAGCACCAGGTAACTCACACAGAACTGAAAGTTCCATTGTTGTGATCAAATATTAGTCCAGGGAGTGCTACATCTAGCTCTTATAATCCCGTTTATTAGGTTTTATAAGACCAAGTGTGTTGCAAATATTTATTTCGCTCTTTCCATGTGTATCATAGGGATTAGCGTAAAGATAAAACGAAGTCGATGATCTGATCTGTACATTTGTTTTCCTTTCAACTTTCTTCGCTCGATAAACAATATATTAAGTTATTTCAAGATACCAGACTGCGTGTTCCCAGCTGTTAAAATAACGGACTTTTTTTTTTATTTGGGATTCCTGAAAAAGTTAGACTCAAAATATAGCATGGATATTTTCACAGTTTTTAAGAATACAGGTTACGCTTTTGTGTTTGATTCTCACCTGCTACAAGACATGTGGTCACAGCCGCTGGACTTCTGAATGAAAACTTGACATTTTGGGCAACGACATGCGTTCCGGACAGGCTGACCGCGGTTTTTGGCCCATATCTTCAACGATTTATCTCCTTTACAGAACTCTTTACACGTCAAACCATGATGCCAGGGTGCTTGGCAAGAGAAACACCAAACTAATCGACATTTTGAGCATGTTACTTTCATAACTTCCGGACTTAAATCTCTCTCCTGTTCGGTCTTCGCTAAGTCGGGATGGTGATAAATTCGCGAACAGCCAGGGCAAGTCTTGATATGTGGATTCTGTTCAATTTCCACTTTGAAGCGCTGGTATTTTTCAAAAACATCATCTGACACAAGTTCTTTTATCTCGTCCTCGCTAATTAAACTGTCACAGTTGCCGAGAGGACACACGATTTTCACCACGGCTTCTTCTATTTTCGACGAGACGTGAGCTTCCAAACAAGACAGGCAAATTATTCCCGAACAACACCACGAACGAATACTTATTTCGGACGTTTCCATAAAGCAAACCATGCAAGGAATAGTCATCTTGTACAGAGTTCTGGAGGCTAACGTCTTCTAACTGCTCTCAAGGAAATTCGCCAAGTCGACGGTTTTTGTAGAGGTTCCCTTTTGTATTTACACGTGATTTCAGAGGTATTTTTAGCAACCACGTAAAACGATCCACATCGAATTGATCACTGATTTCTGACCGAATGAAATCCGCAGCCGGCAAGGAGTGTTAATAGTACAAGCCAAGACTTTGAACACCGAAAAAGGCTGTGATATCAGAGAAAATAAGCCTTGCTCTCACTTACAAACAAGACCTTTTCAATACAAGTTGTTTTGATGGTGTAAGCGATACCGCTGATAAACCGTCGGCACATGATGAAGTGCACATCATCAGCCAGGGATATTCCCTGACTGTTGTTTGCTTCACAATTTCCCTTTCAAGACTCCCCAGGGTTGAAAGTGGAAGATTTTATGAATTTTATGACATTTAAATTGAATCTTTGACTTTATGAAATTGGCGGCCCTGGTATTTCACGAATTTGATTGGCTGAAAACGATAATTGACCTCTGTCTAGATTTTCCCATCTAGATTGGCATCTA